GGGGTGAAGAAGGAGGGAGGAAGAGAAAAGCTGAGTTGCACCGAGTCAGGAGGCGTCTGATTTTTATTCACCTTGGGACATATACATATCAGCGTCTCTTAAACCTACAACCAGACGCCAGCCTTCCTTTCCCCACACGGTTAGAATTTCAGTGCGCGAGTGCTTCTTGCTCTAGGGGGTGCGGACACTTTTGCCCTCAATAAAGGTCTTTCCCCCTCCACCCCGACGCTAGCGGAGGCTCGTTTCCTTTTAGGTCCCAGGTCCAATTGTCTCCCAGCCCCTCCACCAGAGGCCCCCACGAGAGGCAGACTTAGCCCGCGCATCAGCTTGCGAGAGATTCCTGTTAAGGCGCTCCCTTTGAGAGCGCTGCGGGCCGGACTGAAAGCAAAACAAAACTCTGAAAGTCTATGTCAGATTCCCACACTAGGGCGCGCGCACAGTTTTTAGTTTAGAAAACTGGGAGTCTGCGCGCAGCCCTCAGCCTTGTGCGAGGCTACAGGAGCGCTGGCAAGGGGTGCTCAGCCTCCCGGTGTGACGGAGGCACCGAGGGCCGCCCCAGAGAAGCCGAGCCTTCGGTGCTGCGTGAACGCTCCCCTGCAATCCTGGCGCTTTTCGATGCCACTTTCCCGTTAGCTGCTTCGATGGGAAGAGTGTGTGACGGAAGATGGGCTGATGCTAGAGGAACTTTCCTAATCAGTAACTTCTGCGGACGCCAGTGGGTGGGGTTGGTTTAACTCAACTCTCAGGCGCTCTCTGGCGAAGCTCCCTCCTTATTCTTCAGTCATGAGCTCCACAGAGAGACTACGGGACGGTGCACTAGCGGCGCCAATCCATTCAACACGAGCTAGACGCGCTGTCAGTTTCCCAGCCGAGCCCGGGCAGGTGCCTGCAGCAGTTTGGAGCCTGTGAGTCGGCCAGGATAGGCCTGGGCTCGGGCCCAGGCGGAAACATCGGGACTGCCGCGCAGAGCCAAGCTTACGGCGGGGCCTGTACTTCAAAACGAATCACAGGTTGCTGCAGGGGAAGGGCAAAAAGACCTCCAGGAACTTGATCGCGTTCCCTCTTTCACCCCCGGCCCAGCGCGTTGCAGCGCTCATGCCGGTGCTGCCGGCAGTCTTGGGTTTGTGAAGGAGACCGAATCAACGCCCAAGGGGAGCACTTTGAGGCTTCTGAGCATCTTAATGGAGACACCAAAGTAGAGCGGACCAGAGAATTCATCATGACTAACGAGGAGCGGAGCTCTTTGGGGAGTGGCTGATCTGTTTATAAATCACCACATTGAGCGCCCGACGGGGCGAGGCACGTGGGCTGAGAATTTCCACGTGCCCTGTGTTTATGAGCGTGTGGGTGGGAGAGAGCGAAATGGTGAAGGGAGGGTCGAGCCCACGGGCTACCAGCGGGACGGACCTGCAGCCCCGACGCGCGCACCCGTGCGGCGAGGCGAGGACACACACAGTGTGCTGCAAGATCGCAGCGAAAGCATGGAGCCACTCCGGCCACGCGCCTAGGGGCTGCTGAGAATCCGTTAACTTTGTCCAGCTCGGAAAAAAAAGGAAAAAAGTCTGAGGCTCGGAGCGCGCCGACTCCGCGGCTGGCCCCGGCAGCTCCTCCACTAGGAGCATCCAGCTCCCACAGATTGAAGAATCCAGCCTCCGGGAAGGGCCGCGTCCGGACACCCAGCAGCTCCTCCTCCCCCTTCCGGGGCAGGTGTCTGCTTTTCTCTAGATTTGATTTCACATTTCTCTAGGGACAAGCCCCTTTGCAGCCTGTGGGGGTGATACACTTGATCGAAGAGAAAGGTTCCCTGACGCACCTCTGAGGGAACCGAGCAGCAGGACTTGGAGTCAGTTTAAAAGCTCCCCCGCCCCCGCCCCCAACTCGGGCTTAGGGCGCTGATATGTGTAAGTGGAGGTGGGCAAGAATAGGCTGCACGTGTACATGCAAACTTCCTGCCTGCAATGGGACTTCACTGGAGATTACTGTGCCACGATTCATCCCATTTGACGTATCGAGTCTCCACTTCACCCCCACCCCCGCCTCTTTTTACTTGCAGGCGACAGAGCCGAAACGTTCCCAACCGGGTAAACTCTGGTAGTTCTATGAGGTTAACACACCCCATAAATCCTCGGGAGTACACGAAGCAAGATCTACCCCGGGCCTCAGACTCCTTATCCCATCCCCGACCCCGGGAGCCGGGCCAGTCGCCGGGAGGCGCGCACTGAGGCTCTGGGTACCACCTCCCCGCAAACCACCCCAGCCTCCCCGCCAGTTGCCGGAGGCCCGGTTGGCGCGAACAGCGGGTACTGAGTAGCTTCGGCTTCCAGTCTGCCTCCGCTCGGTGCCTCCCTGGGGCTCCGGAAGCCTGGGCAATGGGAGGTTTTACCTCCAGAAGGGGGCTTCTCCGTCCATGGCTCTCCCTCCGCCCCCAGCGCCAGCGCGGGCGCCTACCTTTGCGCCTGACCCCGCCAGGGCAGAACCCGCTGGTCCGCCTGCTTTTTTTCCCTCCAAACGCATAAAAGAACGTTGAAGGTGTTTCAGAGAGACACCTCCGGGTTTTGATTTAGCTCATTCCCTTTCACTGTTCAAAGCAGCTGTACAAATACAGAGGCTGCTTACGCTGACGAGGAGAGGATTTCAAACAACCCTAAAATGCTTTGAACTGACAAGGTGTCTCCGGGTCTCCCTCACTCCAGCACAGCTCCCCGAGACCACTCCCTAGGACAATGGATGAGCAGGCGGTTCCTGCGGCCTCGCTGTCTCGGAGCAGACTGCGGGGTCCCCTGGGCCCCTTCCTCAAGTACTGGCTTGGGGCACCTGAGAGGAGATCTTGGCAAGAGTGCCAGTCCATTCCCTTTCCCCAGGAGTGGACTTTCTCTACTCAGTCCGTATCCTGACTTGGACTCGCCTGAGGAAATGGTGAGAACTCCCTCTGGCTCGCTTGGAGAGGAAAGAACTCAGCTAATCTGAGTTTAACCCAAAAGACCCGTATTAATCCCACATTGTCACACCTCAGAATGAGGCGCGCCTGTGTCAGTAGCCCCCAGCATCCTCACCCAAGGCCCCTAACGTTACCTCACCTGAGTAGCCCTAATGGGACCGATTTGCACACTCCTACTTGAACTCTAATTTATTAACCCGTTCATCCAGCAAACACACTCACACCATATGTAAAAATGTCATTTATTTATTCCTATATCCTAGGATTTGACAGAAAAACCACCACACATTGAGCTGACAGAACAGTTATTAAAATAAAGGTGAGATGAGATTCACTTGATAGATCTTTATTTATTATTTATGTATGCCTGCGATAATAGAAATAGAGAAACAAAGGAAATTTTCTTAAGAGGTGGCTACTGGTAGACACAGGTAAAACTGCCTTCTGGTGCTTTCTTTTAAATGTATCCACCCTGTTTGAATCCCTTCTCCTCCCTCTCATTCTCCTCCATCTTCTGCCTTGTCCTAGTCATTCATTTCCATCTTTCTTCTCCCCTGCTGGCTCCAAAGGCTGTCTGATTTTGTGGAGAGCTCCCCCATATTTGAATGGAACTTCTTTGCTAAGGGCCTACAGAACGTCAAACTGAGGCTCCCACTTCAGAGCTGCAGCTTTAAACAGCCAGGGCACACAAAGAGGCAGCTGGCTGCTTTAATAGAAACCTCCTTAAAGCTTCAAGAACTGCAGGCTTGGGATGCATTTATAAGCATGAAAAATGCTTTTCCAAGTTGCCAGTTCTTTTGAGAAACACAATCAACATTTACTGTTAAAAAGGACAGAAATTAACATCTTTAACTATGTAACAGCACAGCGTATCCTAAATTTAAAAAATATCCCATATAGGTTTATATGTTACTATCTATTCATACATTTTACAAGTTTCCAAATGTGCATCTGTCTCCATGTTATAAGTGGTCTTGAAGAAGGAGAAGTTTTCTGGAAGTTTAAACTCTCATTCTTCATATGCTGGGCACTTTGTTTGTCCATGCATCACATACAAATGATTATATTTTATCTGGACTACTGTGTCAACCCGTGAGATGTAATGTTGTAAATTGACTATTTGAAATAAAATTACTTGAATTCGTGGATAGTAATTTCTTTCTGTTTTTATTCCAGTTCTGAATCTCATTATTAAAAATGACCCCCATTTGTAGTCCAAAGGTGAATATTTTATA